TTGCTTATGGGCAGGAAGATAAAGACGCCTTTGAACTTAATTCATCGAAACCTGAAAACTACCGTTTAGTTGAAGCAACTCAAGCAGCAAGTATATGATGACCAAGGTTGCCGTCGGGTATCACTGATGGACTTCGGGACAAAAGTGTACGCAAAAAAATTTAGACCCGGACCACCTTGGGTGCCCGCTTCCGTTGTTGGACCAGTGAGTGCCTCCTCTGTTCGGCTCAAACTTCCAGACGGAACATCTTGGTATCGGCATGGTGACCATCTTCGACCAAACACCATGCAACAGCCACCGCAGCTAGAGACCCATCCTCAGGAACAGTCTTCTGTGCTTCAACCGACGGAGCCGACTTCGCAACTGACGGAGCCGACTTCACAGAGCCAGGCTCGACCCGAGGAGCAGTCTACATCGACAGAGAAAACCTACCCTCCAGGGAATCCAACCATGGTCGACACACCCGTCATGGTTGAACCGACTCCCGCTGCTCTAAGACGGAGCGCAAGAGACAGACGGCCCGTTCAGCGTTACTCCCCTTGAGCAATGAGCGAACACCTTAAAGGGGGAGGAATGTTAAGTATTTCGTTTTACGTTTTTTGGCGAAGGGCACACATAGACAACCTTTCGTGCCGGAGTCAGGCTGAAGACTGACGTCTCGTTTATTAAATATAAAACGAAATAAAAGAAAGGCGCCTCTGGTACGGAGCGCTCAGGTTACGCGCGAAGCGGCGGGACAGATGTTTATATCTCGGGCTCCGCGCGCGAACGGTTGCTCTCGCTCGGTCGCTTTGGACTTTGGAGCTCGCTGGCGTCGGCGCGTCGGCGACTCCATAACATCAAGAGTCTGTTAGCGCCACCAGAAACCATAGAGGCAGAGAACCATGCCAATAAAAAGAAAAAGAAGCAGTGTGATGCAGACCGTCAGCGGGTTCAGACGTGTGTTCTTTTCTTCCTACACTCGTAGCAGTCTGTATAAACAATTTAAGGCTTTTGTAGCGAATGAAAATATAAAGAGAAACAATACTGCGAAAAGATAACTTCCCCTGTACGGGGTGGTCGGGTGTTAGCTAACTCAAGCTCGGGAGTTGGCTGGCTCGTGGGATTACGTCCCGATTACGGGGACAAATGTCAATCGGAATCCCACGACCTGACTCGATTCCGGAGCGTTATCTCTCGAGCACCAGCACAAACTAAACTCACTTGCTGCGTTTCCCCTGCAAGTCACACGTTTGTCCATCCCCTTTAAGTGGACCGGCGAATCCTCGACGCGTCGTCAGGCAGGCGTTTCCCACTGGTCAAAAGACCACAGCCAATCGGCTAACTTTCTCACCATAAAGCAGTTGCTTATACTCCCGCGTGAGAACCCGCGGTCTGTATGGACCTCACGGCCAAAGGTGAGGCTGGTTCGAATGCAAGCAAAACCATTTCTCGCAAGGCGAAGCGGACAACGGTCCCCGGCGTGGTTAGCGCCGACTAAGTGATCCATCCCGTCATTCATTCTGCCAGACGCGGTATGACGTTGCCGTTCTGCCATGGCCCCCCACACGTGGGCGAGAAAGACCATACCGATGTAAACGCGTTGTGTAAACGGTGCCGTCCAGAGCCACCGCGTTCTCCGGGCCTGAAACGCACGCTCCGATTCTTTCGGCAGAAAGCGCGCGTTCCCAACCTCGCGTCGTAAAGAACGCCTGTCTCTCGAAGCCGCCCGCCACGGGAAGTGTTTACGCCAACGCTTTACTACCAGCCAAGTCTCCCTGGTACTAACGGCCCACCCGCGGAGCCCTAATCGATCCTTACAATTCTTTATTTTTTTGTGAAGTGAAGAGCAACATATTCAGCGAATAGTTTAAGATGAGAGGAAATATTTAAACAAATATTTAATGCACATCAGAAAAAGAAGAGGGCCCAAGACCGAGCCCTGCAGGTCTTCAGATGTATTAGTTACAGTACTTGATGAATGGTCATTCAATATTATCATTAAAAAATTTCTAAAAACATATTTTGTAGAAGCAACACTCGCTGAACAGTCCAATACGCAGTTTAGGCCAGGAACCCGCTAGGTGAATTTTAATAAAGATACTAAAAAGACCGCAGCGATGTGTTTTCCCCCACAGAAAGTTTTGGTGGTAGTCAATGGATTATTCATCCGTGGACCACAGCTGGCGTGGTGATTTCTATTTAATTTTTATCAGCCCTCTTTTGACACTCTTCTGTTGCTTTCAGGATTCTGACCGTCTATAGCACGGGTGGCCAGGCTGACCCGGCCCAAGAGCCGCAAACAAAACCACTCAACTTCCAAGAGCCGCGGGGGGGGGGGGGGGGGGGGTGCAACTTTTGTCCAGAGCAATAACCGACACTCCAACTACTTTCAATCCACCCGAGTCAAAAGCAGTACGAATGTAGCAGCAGTGCAAGACTAAGAAACAGCAACCGCCTGTCTTTTGATTTAAAACGCGTTCAATTTCTCTTTTTAGGTAAGTGTTCGTGCGAATGGAAGGGAGGCGTGGAAGTATGTGTGTGTGGGGGGGGGGGGGGGGGAGGGAGGGGGGCTAGGGGAGGTAGCCGCGAGCCGCACTTTAACACGCGAAGAGCGGCATGCGGCTCGGGAGCCGCAGCTTGGCCACCCCTGGTCTATAGCGTTGCGACTGTTCTGCGTGTCCGCCTTGCGTCCCACTACGAGCGATATCCTTCGCCGCTCGACATCTCTTGAGCTGTCTCTCCGCCGAGGATATCGCTTGCCTTCACCGCGACGCCCTGCATCGCCTCTTCGCAGGTTCCGCCGTGAAAGCCTGTCTCCCCTGCCTCGCCGGGGAAACTAAGTACGGCAACCCCTCAAGGTAGAGTTGCCGAAGACGACAGTGGGAAAGATCCCCCAAGAACGTCGGAGGGCCCCCGCTCTAGCGACGACAACCATCGGAATGGCAATTCTGAAACGGTGCCCAACAACCTAAACGTTGTTATCGAAAGCCACGACGCGTCGGCACTCGTGGACAGCGGAGCAGATTACTCCGTTTTGAGTGTGAAACTGGAGCATTCGCAGCCGGTGAGGAAAGAAAGCACAGCCGGCCATGTTAGCTGGGTAACTCCTTTTTCCCCTAAGCCCCACGGCCTATACCACATCTCCCCCTCTTTATTTTTCTGTCTTTTCTTTCGTATCTATAGGTTCAACCTCTGGACGGGCCTTACTATGCGTCCGCTTCTTGTGACTGGAAGTTGGGAAGTCGACGGCACCGGGCACGGCATTTCTTGATTGCAGAGTCTCGTCAGCTGCTTGGACGTGCCCTGCGGCTGTTGCCCAAGTTTCTTAATTGCTGACACTCTCCTCAGCTGCTTGGGCATTACCTGCATGTGTTTCGATTGGTATCAAATGGAATCTGTTCCGTCGCACTTCCTCTCTTGGCGTCTTTACTATGTAGGACCGGGGTGGTCCTGCAGCTCTCGTCACGAGTCGGTCAGTCTTCTGGTCAGTGATCCAGACTTTTTCCCCTTTCCCAATTAGCTTTAAGGGGCGTGCACCGTGTCTCTTGTCGAAGTTGGCTTTTGTGTAAGTTCTTTTTCTCCCATTCCTGGAGCTCTGTGTGATCAGGAGTTTTCGGCTCCAGAAGACGGTTTGCAACTATAGGGACGTGCGAATGCGGTGCAACCAAGAGAAGTTCCGCAGGGCTCAGTCATTCCCCAGTGGCGTTGCTCGGTATGCCTGCAGTGCCCGATAGGCATCATCAGTTTTTTTTCAACTGGCCTTAATTATCTTCACACCAACTTTGACAAACCCATTGCTCTGCGAAAACTTGGGGCTGGATGTAAGATGATGAAGCATCTAGTCTCGCGCAAACTGTGTAAACTCGGAGTTCACCAGTCGTTGAAACTGAGGTCCGTTGTCAAAGGTGACAAGAATTCCGAAAAAAAAGGCATATTAATTGATGTTTCGGTTTTGGGCTATATGGGCTAGCTTTTTTTTTATCACTTTGGTTTTGTTTTCGCTATTCGTGGCAGCCATTTGGCGGTTTGGCAGATCCCCTATCTGACGACACTGTATCTGGGCCTGACTTATCCAGCGGTGTCTTGGCGCTTCTGCGATTGCGAGGGTCCATATCTCGAAGACATATTGAAAAGGCCGCAAAAAGTTCGCGGGTGAGTAACCGGACGATGTGACCGAATCGAAGGTTTTACAAAGTAGCCGGCTTAGGAAGTTTCGGTATGAAAATAGGTAAACAACGGGCGGATTAAAAAGCAGAGAAGGAGCGGAGCGTCTTAGAGCGAACATGGAGGCGAAAATTTGCAATGGGGTAAAAGATACTTTGGGGAAGCCCAATCTAGCTCACTACAGCGCAGTAGTGCGAGCCGGATCTTTATTCCATTGTCGAGGGAGTGCCCGCGTTCGTTCGACTACATGTTCACGTATTTTCAAATAAAAACCTCCTGAACCTGGCTTTTGCTAGGTGGTGCCAGTTATTTAAAAAAAAAAATGTCAATCACTGACGCTCGACCTTCGGCTGTTATTCTGTCCTGAAGAATGTCTTCATTTTTCGTGCTGGCTTTGTACATATTACATTTCAGTTTCTTAGGTGATGTTGTATATGTAGCCCGTTCATAGCACATATGACGCATTGATTATCACTATATTAGCCCAACTGCTGTATTTGTTGGATACGTGATACTGGGTGTGGGCAATCAGGCGTACATTTGTTAAAGGCAGGTTCAGAAAGCACTATTTTCTTACTTTAAATTTAAGTTACCGAAACACCCGTGTCTCCATTGTCATTCACCAGGCCATCTACTTGAACTGGCAGCTTAATATGAGGCACAAATTTCCCGGTGACTTGTGGCGTAAGCACACGTGATCCTTCGTAACGCAACGTAACGTAAGTTAACGGGGCTGTGTGAACCAGCCTTTGTTCATTCGTGATTCCTTCGCCGCGTGTCGGATTTCAAACCGTACCGATAAGGAGTACTGCTCGGTAAAACCCCCATAAAGTGCTATCATACCTTCGTTGCCGTTGACGGAATGTCAAAGTCGGACGATTTTTCGCACTATCGTAGCACAATGACAACTTTAATGCAAACAATGTACGGCGGTCGTTAGCGCTTGAAGGGCGCCACGCGAGGGTCGAGTTCGCCCTCGGTGGTTCTTGCGTCGTATCCCTGCTGGTAGGTAGTCGGAAAGAAGCCGATACTCCCTACGATGCCGCCCAAGCCACCCAGGCCTGTGACACCGCCCAATCCGCCGCCCAGGCCGCCCAGGCCCCCGAGGCCTCCCAGGGCGCCCTGGCCCCCGAGGCCTCCCAGTCCTCCCAGGCCACCCAGGGAGTCGCTGCCCAGGCAGCAGATCCTGTACTGCCAGCAGCACTGCCTGTGGGGTGCACAACGAAGGGGAAACGTCAGTCATCGCGCCAAGAGTCACCATAAAATTCGGCGTCTCTTCGGCTTTTTATTGGGCCTTTCAAAGAAAACTGAAAGCTATCGCATTTTTCGGCCCCGTTCACACACATGTGCCTGCCTACGAGAGAATGCGTTACGGCCTATTGTGATCTCCTATGACGATCAAGAGAACACACCGGAGTTATCTGTCGTGCAGCCGTGGAACATCTGCGATTTCCGTATATTTCCTGTTTTTTCGCGGTTCTTTCTTCCACTGTCGGCTGGAAAACCTTTTGAAATGTTATAAATAAAAATTTCTTATAGATGGGACGTGTATTTCATCTCGCAAACCTTGCAAATTCTTCCCTCTAGTCCAGTGGTTCTCAAATGGGGGTCCGGAAAATCACCCTAGGGGTCCGCGAGCCCTCTCTCCCGGAAATAAAAGTCGTCTACTTTCAGATTGAGTATAAACGTCCCAATTTTCAGGTGAATTTCCTCGTGTATATGTCGATAAGAGAAGTCTAATTCACACTAGCCCTTAAATATATCCATTTATTGAATCGCTATCATAACTAACAAATCCCTTTTCCTTCATCTATCCACGAACGGGGTCCTCCATCATTTCCGCCGATCCACCAGGGGTCTGCGAAACATCAGTTGTTGAGAACCACTGCTCTAGTCGAATGCAGTTAGTGTCACCCCATGGATGGCACCAGCGTTCCAGTCTGTTATGTCGTAAGTTATCATACGAGGTCAATACTTCAGCTTGGGCGAGTTGGTTAAACATGCTAATACTTCGCAGCGCACAACAGACAACACACCATCAAAACAGATACACACAAAGAAACAACAGCGCTGCGTGAGTGTTGTTTCTTTGTGTGTATCTGTTTTGATGGTGTGTTGTCTGTTGTGCGCTGCGAAGTATTAGTATCATACGAGATCGTAATGCATTCAATCATAAGAAGTTTCAAGTGTGTGGTCTAGCCTTTATACAACGGAACGACTTATTTGAATTTTTTTAATATATAAGTACGAATGCAGAGCAACATGTAGGCCGTATCGACATTTAGAATAAAGTAAAAACGACAAAGATCGCGTCGATGACCTGCTGTCCTAGAGACCAGAAGACGGTCCGAAACGTGATAGCGTAGGTGTGCAGCCTGTGTAACTCTGCCGACCTGCAAAATGGGCGACTTATGCAAAGGTGCGACCTTCATACCAACTTCCCCGTGAAAATGGCCATGTACGAGAGGCGTGACTTTTACGCCTACACGTTGTTAACAAACAAGCCCGCGCTCGCCCACAAACGTATGGGCGCTTCGCGTGCGCCGTAAGCAGACTGGCATGATATGAAGCATCTGCGCGAACGAGACGAGAAGGAGAAAAGGCGCACATACCACTTAGACTGGTCTATGTTTCCTCTTTGCCTCATTCGCGCTTTTTAATAAGTTGTTAGTTCGAAGCAACTAGCTTAATCACTTGTGAAGCCAAAACAACTCAACTCGCGACCAAAGTATGCTACAGACAACTTGCGAGTTTGATGCGGAAACAGCGGTAAACGTAAAGCTTACGAGACAAGGATTTCAATATATACTAAGGCCTCACGTTTGGCGCCAAAATTTCTCGTAATGAATCCCTTTTCTCTGAACAAAAAGAACGAATAGAAAAAAAAACAAGGCCCTGGTGTAAACGAGCAAATTTCGCGTGAAATCGTATGAGCTGCATCGGCAGATATAGCTGAAACAATTTGCACAGCACCGCTGAATACTTTATAGAGCCAAGTGAGAGTTGACTCAGCAACAAATGGCCGGGAAAGCGGGAACTTGCGACGCATTTATACCTGTCGAGTAAATAATGCAGATGGGCAATATTCCTTTTGATAGCTGAGTAACTTTTTTACCATTGTCTGTTTGTTGAATTCTTTCTTAAGTCTTGCAAATAACAAAACACTCAAAAACGGATGGCTATTGCGAGACATGTGCAGGACCAGTCATCACACAGGTCACGAGTTTAACGTGTCAAAAAGATAGCCGAATCCGACCTCAAGCCTACCAGTCAGCACGTCACGTAACATGATTTAAAGAAGGTCTTGAACCCGACCTGGCGCCGGCCCATCAGGAAGTCATATACTTTAAAAAGTCCAATCCGCCATGGCGCCAGCCACTCAAGACGTCACGAGGGGGATTGGAGGCCAAGTGGTCTAGCGCGCACCAGTTCGGAGCACGTGGGCCGCTTAACCTCGGCCATATATATATAGCCTCCTCTATACTGACAAAGCCTGGTAGATTGCCACGACAAGCAACCGCCGAAATTGAAAAGGTAGAGCGGAAGACAAGGGATGAGAGGAGAGCCACGTAACGGGCGCTCCATCGCGGCGAGACGCCGAAACACACTTCTCCCGAGCGATGGAATGTTCGCTCGTGCTCCTCGCGTTCGTCGCGCTGCCGCTTCTTTTCTCGTCGGGTTTGAAAACCATATTTTGGGTCCTCGCCGCTGCAAAAGCTGTGCGCTGACTACAGGCCCCTCGAGAAATGCTCTGTGCTACCTGATCCTCTCGCTCCAAATCTGCGACAGGGCACTCTATGGCTCCGTTGTCGAAATGCCAGGCTTTGTGAGTATAGGGGAGGCTACGCCTCGGCAGCAGCGAAACGTGGCCGTCCACGCCAGTACACCGGAGACGAACTAAGGAAACGGAAGAACGACATTCACGCTTTCGCATTCACAACTCATCAGAACTGCTTAGGTGTCCTCGGAATTATTTGTGTTATTTTACATTGAAGTAAACACTGTATAAATACATATGGCTTTAGGCTGCCTTCCGTTTAGAAAGTAGTACAGGGTTAAAAAACTTGAGATTTCCTTTTTCTAGTCAGGATATCTAAAAGAAGCCCAATTTAGCGGCTTTTATCTAAAGGCCTATATCGAATACTACAAAGTTAATTGGAAATCAAGCCTTTGAAATATTTGGCTGCGTATATAAAATATTTCGAGCCTTAAACATTCATTCCTGCAGGTTCCAAGAGGAAAAGTGGTTAAATTCACTTCTTATCTCAACAACCGGGCGCAAGTCCTGCGAAGTTCCCGGTCAGACATGCCGTACACATATTTTAGTACATACTTCACGTCTACCCTGCTTACCTTTCTTATTATTTATTTATTTGTATCCTTGTTTTACTACTAACAAGTGTACCAGTTCTTAGGCTTCGGCTGTTGCTGGGCACAATAAATCAAATTTTTATTATTTTATTATTACTAAGCGTAAATTTTAGTGCACTAAGTATACTTTTAATGTATAGCTTTTTACGAAGGGATTTGTTGGTGCGTTATGACTTATGGTCCGCCCCGTAGCCTCGTGATCACGTGGAAAGCTGGGCTTCACCATTCAAGAATCAGCTGCGCGCGTCGACAGTCTCCTAAGATACCGCAAGCTCCCGTGAGTCATGCTTAGTCCAAAGTCACTGGATCCCCGTGTGGTTGCCATTTTTGTCCATGGAATGATCACTTTATCGTTTACCTGACAGGTTACTTTATATGGACATTTCTTGCATACCAAAACTATTGTTATCCACGCAACGGCGAATCAAGCGCGCACCTTCACCACTGCCACAACATACGGCGTCGGTGCTTGGCCGCATCGAATAATTCTTTCCCTGTCTTGAAATATGCAAGAACAACATCGCTGTAAGAGATCTGCGGAGATAAGCATGGTTAATATGTCGATTGCTTACACAGTGCCAGAGACGCTTATATTGACGAGGAACGCTACACTCTTAGAAAAAAGGGTCAGTATAGTCCTCCCTAAAGGGAGGAACGCTCTTGACACATATGTTCCTTCAGAAAGGGAGAAACTTTCGTCCCTTAAGCAGGGGAGGAAAAGTTCCTCCGTCGACTGCATCTCATTATGGCGGCCACGAATCGAGCAAATCGAGCTCGGTAAGGCTTAACGAGAACACTAAGTCTATTGCACGAAGCGAGAGGAGCAGGAAATAAAAACGTAACACGAGCTTTCCGCGAACTGTATTTATTTCCGAAGTTTCTTTACCCCTGCAGGTAAAGAAACTTACGTTTCGAAAGCATGCAGTCACTCAGTCTTCTCATCGTCAGCACTGCGATGTTCAACGGAGACAACCGGCACTCAGTTCGCGCACTTTATGTCCTACCTTTGCTATTCCTCGAGCCACAATTCCTTCGTCAACCGTTGCGTCAACCGCACATCACGGAGGAGTGAAAATCATTCGCCCGCAAAACCAAAAGCCGCTCTCAAAAAAAAAGCAAATCCGAAGCAACCTCTTGGCTTATCTCGGCACGGTAACACGAAATTATGGCGTAGCCGCGTAGCGTAAAAGGATGTTAAATCGCTTGCCACCAGATGGCAGGGTCAAGCAGAGTAATCGCACGTAGCTAGGCTAGGTGGCGCTAGGTACCGCCCAATTCGTGTTTTACAAAAAAATATTTTTATTTCTTTACGCCACAATTGCGTTTCCTTTTGTACGGAATCTCTAACACATGTAGACACGTTGCACACACTACAAAAATCAGGTCAACATATTTTGAACGCATACACAGGCATCGCACATACAAACATCAATACAACAGCACACTATCCCGATCACTACTACCGAGCCCTGCGTTTCCGTCTTTTATAGTGGTCGTTTTGAACGTACGGAATTTTTCGGTGACTCCCTAAGCAAAAAAAAATATTCCGAACATGTTCATTTTTTTCCAGCAATGTCATACATCTGAGGCTATTTTTAATGGCTCAAGGGATGAATCTCTTATTAAAAAGAAAACGCTCGATCATGCCATAATTATTTGAAAGCCAATAAATCGAGCGGCTCCAATGTGGTTCCAAGCCATGAGTTTGTTTTCCCGCACGGCCCTTCGTAGCCAGTATTTATATTGTGGTGTTCGTTTTTCTATTTGTGCTGTTCGCGCAAAGCTGCAATTTCCGTCTTGAATTAATCTCTCTAGAGCGGATATCCACTCAGCTGG